CTTCCCAAAAACGGCGTCGCGTTCGCCGCACCCGATCGCGAACAGTCGCGCGTTTTGAAGGGAAAAGTTTGAGTTCTCAGTGCGAGGACAGGGGTAGAGGAACTGCTCCCCAGTCGCGGCATTTTCCCTTGCGGAATGCGGCAAATTCACTGCAACTACCGTACTCACCCCACTTCCCGCCAATCGATAGGACGCAATATTTTTCGTTGACTGCCTTTCTTTTTATTAGATTTGATCGTTTTTTGCCTATTTCTTTTTCGTTTTTATGTTTATTAGACTTGATTAATTAGAATGACTCCTCCTACATTAGCGACGATCAAGACGGCATTGGAATTGAAGAGAGCGGCTAGCCAATTCCAATAATTAAAGGACTCCCTACCTCACAAACTGCGCGCTCCAATCTCCCATCGCAATCCTGCGATATGCGGCGGGTGCGGCGTGCGCGACGCCATTTTCGGGGAGAAGATTCCGGACCCCAAGGCCAGGGTAGCCGACCTTGCCGCTTGCTGTGAGAATTCGGGGAGAAGTTCCGGCACCCTATTCTTTGTTCACAGCTAATTATTATGGAAATACTGCTGTATTCGTTTCAATTGCTCCAGCTAAACTACATAACAGGGAACATATCATGAATCAAAAGATTAAAGTGTTTTATGTTACGCCAAGTTCAGGTGAACAGGAATCTAGCGAAAAGTATCGATGTACCAACATACAAAAATGGCCGGTTGATCATTCTACTGTCATCGTCTCTCATGTAAGTATCTGATCCGTCTTTAGTATAAATACTATGAAGACTCAAATTCCAAATCCTCTTTGAACCTCGGCATGTCTGTTGTTCTTCAAATCATTAGTTTTTACTTCTGCCTCGAGGTTTGTAGGTGGAAATATTTATTTCGGCCGACGTTTCGACGGACTCGTCGTTTTCATAGGCCTGAAAGTAGTTCAAAGCGTGTTGATTGTACACTACCCCACCAAGCGCCTCTTCCGCTCTAGCGTTTCTGACGTACCATCAAGAATGCACGAAAAATGTCCAAAATCCGAAAGGTAAGCTCACCTCACTTCCACCGCAAAGTGTAGCCACGCTACACGGTTAGTACATTAGTAGCGAATGATCTTAGTCCGCTGTCCTTATGCAATAACATTATTGCGGATCAGCACGGTTCGCTGATTATGGAACTAACTCGCAGTGTTGCATAAATGGCAAGAGATCATTTGTGATAGTCACACACACTCCTTTCGGCTGTTCATATCTGGATTTCTAGCTAAAATCCAGAACGCTTCCAACGCTTTCCTCGACGATATTTCCGTCTCATGAGCCAATATCGTACATTTGATGTTAAAATCATTTCCACCATGCTGCTCCACTCTGTGCTTCCCTAACGGAGTTAACACATTACTGCGCCGTTTACCAGCAAGATGCTCTTTGATTCGTACTGATAAAACTCTTCCGGTTTCTCCTATGTAGCTTGAATTACATGCCTCACATA